TCCAGGCAATGCATTTCAGTGCAATTTGCATTAACTTTTTACTACTGTCGGGTGAAGAGGCTCTGTGCATCAATTAGTCAGTCGGGCAAGGTTTACAAAAATTCTCTTGCATCTCTAAGATCTGAAACTGCACTTACAAAACACAGCAATAACTATGCGCACAGAAAGATACAAGTAAACAGTGTCTTCAGGTGCAAAAATGGAGATTAAACACGAGGGCTGGGTATTATTAAGAAGTTGCCGATACGATACATAGGTCGCAATACGATACATATCTCAATACAGTGCACTTTCGATTTGATACGATATATTTCTAATTGACTTGATACAGTTCAATAAAAAAATCAAGGCTGAATGATTGCTGTGATACTAAAAGTCATTGTTAAATCACTTCTTGTGCAAAGTGAATATGAAACACACACGTTTTAATTATCATAACAGTGAAAATGTCAAATGTATTGCAGAAATTAGTTTCTTCCTCTAAACAAGCAACAAAACTGTGGTTGTAACAAAATAATTTTGTAAAATATACCAAAAAATACTCTTGGGGATACATCGATATCGATACTACATCATCACATTGAACGATATTATCAATATTTTTGCAAATCCCTATTAAACACTAGCCTGATTCATCATCCAGTTTCACTTTGTTTCACTTCGTAGAAACTGTCTGACCTCGCCGTGTTAGAATTCATTCGCTCGACGGTAGGCAAGTACTTTTTTTATTTAACCAATTGCTGCTATTTGGTCGTGACATATATAATGCGCCGCTAAAGGGGCTAACTGGTATATTAAGCTTTTCTCAAATCCCGTAGGAAGAAGGGCAATAACGTATTTCACCTTGATGAAATTCACCAAACATTCTCTTTCTTCCAGCTTTAAATCCCCAGTCTCGGCAATTGTTGACAACACTGAATATATGGCTCTTCACTGAAAGGCTGATGCCCGAACTTGCACTTGCGGGGTTTTTGCATCTATTGTATTTTGATTCCTGACCTAGTTGCTGGAGAGAAATGAAATTGAGCGGAGGCACTAGGTAGCACCAGCCTGGCTAATTAAACACTTGATTCAACCCAAAACTCACTTCTTCTTTCTGTTATTGGGTTTATAAAAACTTTATAATCCCAATAAAATAATTAGCAGTCAGTCAACTAATAAAACATTTACCGATTGATCAACTAAATGTCCATCAACGGATTTATCGACTAAACCCCTACAGCTCTAGTAGACTAAAAAAAAATATGAATTTGTTCAGTATGTATATTCCCTGAGGATATAGTACATTCCGACATTCTTTTTCGAAATTCCAGCAGCAGATGTGAGTGAGGTAAAGAGTAGACTAACTAACTGCTCCAAGTTATCAGTCAAAGCGTAGAGCAGGCAGAGTAGCATGGATGTACTTTAGCCTCCTCCATCTTTTCACACTCCCTGCTCTTCAGTGCCACTGTTTATCTGCCCTCCTCCTCCACCACCTCCTCCTCCTCCTCCGGCTGCTTCCCAAGTGCCTGGTACGGCCTGGCTCTCTCCCTCCGTCTGTCTGTGAGAAAGCGAGTGGGAAAGCGAGGGAAAGAGAGTCCATTCTCCAGACTAATGCATTACCAGCATGTAGCACAGATAAACATGTACCCTCTCCAGAATGCACGCTGTTGTTTTGAACGTGCATTTAAAAACACGGAGAGGTCTGTGGCATTCATTCCAACTACGCACTCTGCACTTAACACATTCCCCAAGTCAGACACGCGAGACAAACCTGAACCATGTGAGCCGAGCACAACGCTAGAACCTCAAAAGGATCTCCAAATACCACAATTTCACCTTAAAGCATGCATCGTTTCACCTCATAATCGACAAAGCATTCCAGTATGGCAGAAGCACAATATACTGCAAATGAATGCTATCAAGCTCTTAGGTAACGCATTAAGCATACAGCAAGAAGCTAAATAAAGCTACGGTTCAACGTTTATTTTCTTAATTTTGTAGCTGTGAAGTTAGGCTTGTTTTGGTTTTAGTTTAGCCACTGTTCACTGACATATTACGCTATTAAATTTAGTTAATTGTAATCTGCAATATTGTTCCAAAAGAGTTTAAGAATAGAAATAGGTTGGTATATTGACTTACTGCACTCAAAACTGTATAGTAAACAAATAAATACACAACAATGGGTAGAGACAGACATTTTCCGAGCACAATACAGGATTATTTGAACATGCATGAATCAAACAACTCGCAATAAACTAATAAATTAAAGATGCTGAATATTGATTTATCAGAATATGGCTCCTTTAAGTTTCTATCTTGACACTAAACTAAGTAATTTGGGGATTTTTTTGTTTTGTTTTGAATTAAACCTGAAGACAAGATTCAGAAAAATTGAATTAAAATAGCAATTTGAATCATGTAGAGTGCAATTTGTTGTAACTACCATAATTTCCCTCACAAACAACAAAATATCCTGTCTTGTTCTAGTGCTGAACCTGTAGTTTAGATTTGTACAAACGTGTTCTAAAGTACATGTGTTTCCAGTATTAGATTGTCACTTATCTTGCATGCGATTAAAATGTGAACTTTAAAACAGAACATTATTAATAAAACACAAATTGAAAATCTAATCGCAATCGCAAGGCTTGTCTGAAAAATCACAATTAAAAAATGAACATATAAAAAGATATTGTTATTGTAATATGTAAACAAAGTGATCAAATCTGGCATTTTTAACCATATTTTGATGCCACAGCGTTTGAACCATCCCCCGAGAAACTAATGGAGCCAGCCGATCAATAATGTCACCAGGCGTATGTGGCGTGGACAGGGCATGAGCTCATCTAACTTTCTGGAATTTTTGACACAAGTGACACGCCGGGCCAAATGATGGTTTACCGCAGAGGCCAAACTAGCACTCATCTCCGCGCACTAACTGTTACCCAATGTTCCATCCTGTGTTCTTCTTTAAAGGCGCAGTCTTACCATGGGGGCTGGGGGAACATTCCAACTGGTCTGGCCACAAAGTCATAATGCATTTGTGATAATCGAGCAGATATGTGAGGTTTAGTTCGGATGTTGGATTTCACATGGCCATAAAAAGTTCCTGCATGAATCAATAACAGGAAGTGAAGAGTCTAATTAATTTTTTTTTTGTAATGATCCCAAATCAAAGCATGTAGTGGTTTGATAAGAGTAGTTATAATTAGCACTGGCATAGTTAATAATAATAATTAGGGATGCAACAGTATACAAATCTCACGGTATATTTTCACGATATACATCTCACTGTGCAGTATTTATTAAGATATTTTGTGGAGGCTAACAAAATTGCAAATATGCTACTTAATTCAAGAAACTAAGAGTGACTAAAAGTGCTTATAACTGCCATTTCTTCGTGTAGTTTGCACCAAAACGGAGCAAATTATCATATTATCGATGTAGTTCACTCTGTTTTTTTAGCAATTGCTGAGCCATAACAAAGAATTTAAGCAAAGAAACTTGTGATTCGATATATTGTAATGGTCCACAATATTATTGAAAGATATCACGATATTTTGGTTATTGTTACACACCTAATAATAATTAGTCTTAAAAAGCACTTTTCCAGATACTCAATACATTAATATACAATTCCATGTATTGTTCATAGTCTCTATACTTCTGAAGCCACAGCTGCCCTGGCACTAACTGACCAAATCTGACTGCCAAATCTATTACCACCACTTACTATACACTACTACATATTAAAATCATAAATTAGCCAGGGGATTGACAAGTCTTGCCCAAGGACACAACAACAACAACAGCTGGTTGGAGTTCACTGAACCTCCAGCCTATAGGTTTTCAGGCAAATGTCTTAACACTGAGCCAACAATGTCAAGATAGCTGGACATAGGGCTCCTCGATTATAGAAAAAAAAATCATTATTGTGATTATTTGGGTCAATATTGAAATCACAATTATTCAAATTATTATTTTTTGTTACGCGATGCATTTATTCAGCATTTCTCTCTCTAAAAAAAAAACCAAAACACTTTGTTATTGATAATTTATGCAAAACTTTCAAATTGAAAATAAATATAGGCTACAAATATGTACCTTAGAGCAGTTTTGCAGTGAATAAACCATAAAATGGATAAAATATACCATACTGGTTTAATCCTGGGTTTAGCCCTGGGTTTAGCCCTGGGTTTAGCCCTGGGTTTAGCCCTGGGTTCATTTCTGGGTTTAAATCTTGGTTTAGTCCTTGTTTAGTCCTAGTCTAGTCCTAGTCTAGTCCTGGTTTAGTCTTGTTCCAGTCCTAGTTTAGTTCTGGTTTAGTCTTCTTTTAGTACAGTTCTCGTCCTGGATTTAATCCTGGTTGAATATGAAATAAGGCATAGAAAAACATAAATAAACTATATCTAGCTGTTCTACAATCTCTATAACAAAAAAATAAAATAACTATACCTATAAAAATATCCCAAAATAAACTTTGTTAATCATTCCAACTCTATTATATGAGTTTGGAGATCGTCCAAACAAAACACACAAATCAAAATTACAATCAAAATTCAATTAATTGCTCAGCTTTAGACAACTCCTCAACACAACCAAGAATGCTCATATTGATCACTGAAAAAGTGTTGTTTGAATCTATTTTGTATATTTTCTTGAGTTTTCAGATAATGTTAAAACATTTTTGACAGTGCGTTGTGTCTTCATGGTAACTTCTGAACATGCCCATAGAAATAAATGTATAAAACAATTAATATTTACTTTACTACAGTTTACCAAGCTAAACCCTGAGGTCTAAGGTGTGCCTATGCTTTCTGATGGGTTAAAATTACAGTGCAGCTTGCTCATTGCACACATTTAATTGGTACTGTCTGTCACTACCAACTAGTATTCAGCCGATGCCTGAGTATAGACTAACAAACTCAAGTGGATTCAGTCACAGTCCATAAAGGCCCATATGTATTAGCTCTTCAAACAGCAGAACAGATGCAAAAGTTGATGACAAACCAGAAGGATACACTTTGATGGCTCCTGACTTGGTACCGATGGCCATGAGTTGCAGCTTGGGGTCAAAAGCCAAAGCGCTGGGCTGGTGAGGGAATCCATGCTCCACTGTCTGCAGGAGAGACAAACAAGACACATGAGAGACAGTTCAATGCATAAAAGTAGGGTAAAAGTAGGGATGTAACAATAACCGAAATATCGTGATATCGTATCGCAAAAGTTCTCATAATAATATCGTGGGCCATCACAATATATTGTGATCTCTCTTGTGAAGTCTCTTTGCTTAAATTAAAGAGTTACGGTGCAGCAATAGCTAAAAAACAGACAGAGGGAACTACATAGACCATGATCCTTTGCACCATTTCAGCGTAGACTACAAGAAGAAATAACAGTTCTAAGCATTTTTAAGTCTTAGTTTTTTGGATTAAATCAAAATACCGCAATAAATATCGTACTGTGAGATGTGTATCGTGAAAATATCGTATGGAGAGATTTAGATATTGTTACATTCCTAATTGTGAGCCTCGCCACCATATCGTGAGCTTTCCCTTGATATCGCAATAAATATAGTACCGTGAGGTTCATACTGTGACGATATCGTATCATGAGACTTGGATATCGTTACACCCCTACATAAAAGTGCAATATATTTTTACTTTGCTAAGATGTAAGGATGTAAGAATAACCGAAATGTTGTGATATCGTTTTGCTCTCGCCCAAAAATCATAATAATATCGTGGGGCTGTCAAAATATACTAAATTACAAGCTGCTTTGTTTTGTTGTAGCAGTTGAAAGGTCCTATATTACACAAAATTGCCACTTGTGAGTTTTTAGCCATGTTATAATGTTGTTACCTCATCAGAAACATACCTGGAGTTGTGTTTTGTTTGGAGGGTTTGTGTGTTAAACATGTGTGAATAAAACAAAACACAGCTGCAGGTCGTGTTTTTGATGAGATCAGAAAACAACGTAATATGGGCCCTTTAAAACAAACTGTGGAAACTGCGTAGACCATAATCCTTTGCTCGGTTTCAGTGCAGACAGCATGATGAAATAACCTTTGGATTTGGACAATTTAACATACAAAATTGAAGGTATTTTGAAAGGAAAAATCTGCGTTTCTCTTAAAGTGGCCAAAATATCACAATAAATATCATACTGTGAGATGCATATTGTACCATCAGATTTGGACATCTTTGCATTCCTACTAAGATGTCCCTGTGTGCGTGCGTTTGTGCCCTGTGCTGTCAGACTATTTAACCAGCGAGGCGTCTCAATGGGAGGATTCTTGAAGTAAAGTTGGAGGAAAGTTCCTAAAAGCTCTGATGGCAGACGCATGACCTTGTAAAATGGGATTAACATAAATTCACGACTTTTGCTTGGGTTTGTTTTAAGAGAGAGAAAACCAGCTGGAGAATGTGTACAAATCTAAAAATAACAGGAATAAACTCCACAAGTAGGGCTTCAACTGCAGTATTTTGCACTCAGAATTCAACTGCAATTTGATTCTTTGCACAAAAAAAACAACAACAAAAAAGTAACTATTGTCTATTTTGCCTTAATGTGGTGTATACAACCAGATAACCCTAAATATGCATGTAAATGGGATTCCAGTCTTGGTTAACCAATTAATATTTCAGCCTTCCCTCAAAAGTTAACGCTCCAGGATGTGTTTAAATGTGCTCTGGGAACTGAACTTTGCTTTTAAAGAAGACATGGGTCACTAAATATTCTCAGCATTTTAAAAATTGCAATATTGATGTAAGACAAGTACATGAAATTATTCTGGAAGCAAGCAGCAGATTTTTAAAGCAGACCTATTATGCAAAATTGATTTTTCAGAGGTTTTAATCATGTTATAGTGGTCTCCCCACACCATTTACCCACAAGTTGTAATTGAAATGATTCATGAATGTTTGAGCAATCTTTGAGCAATCTTTAATCACTTATTTTCAAGACACCATATTGCCAGTGTTCACCACCATCATTACACACCCACTGCTCTGTACTTACTTCATTCTCCAATTTCATTTTGTTAATTGTTGGTATGGATTGGATTCAGCAGCATCACATTGACATTTTGGTACACATGGAAAAAAAAATGCTGCTGCTCACTAGAATGATCTGTAGCTATCCATCGGAGGCACAATGGAGCAATGGCGTCTTGATTGCAGGAGATTACTCAAAATTACTCAAACATGAATCACTTTGAATAGAACTTTGATTGAGTAAATAAGCAGAAAAAAAACATGAAAACCAAATCTCATCACAATCAGAATACTTACTAAAATGCAACACTCACTCAACCTAGAATGTGAGAGGGTTTCTTAAAACTTCTTAGACCCCTCACAGAGCTTTGGGACCATTTGGGGTTGAAAAATTAGAGATGGACATAAAACATTAACCCTTTCCTCTTTTAAGTCTAGACTGGAGCGTTCACATGCACATTAGCAGAGACCGATAAAGTGACATCAAAGTAGCACTCCTGCTGAGAGACCACCTCTGATAGTTGTGGCAGCTGGTGTCAGACCCTAAACTGTGTGTGTGACCCAGCACATTGCAACACATAACTGCACCAAGAATGGACAGCAGTAAACCAAAAGGCAAAGAAGCTCAATTTACTATCCCAAATTGTTTATTTTAGAAAGAGAATGTACACCCATGCAGAGCAACTTTGGATAAAAATAAAAGGACTGCAAGATCAAAATTAAAATGGGTCAAAAAAGCTTCAATTATTCACTGAAAACAATAAAATATTCTGTCTAAATAAAGAGAAAACTGCTAACCTTGTAGTTTAGACTTCAAAAAGTGTTATAAAATGAATGAGATTAGTTTTCCAAATGAAATTTCAGTCTGCTTAGTGCACCATGTTGAAAATATGCTTGTCCAGTCATTGAAAACATATTGTTAATGATACAGTTTGCATTACCGATGCAGATGTAGAAGTGTACTTAACTTTGACACATCTCTATGCTGTAACACAGTGCTCCACTTTCTACACGGTGACACAGAGTGCAGACAGACAGTGGCCTCACCTAAGGTCAAGGCCACCGGTCACCTCAGTAGATATAGTTGGCAGCACATCCTTTCACCAGCAACTGTAATGCGATACACAGATACCAATACACCCCCACAACCAACAATGAGTTTTGTCAATGACCTTTGTGTTCCCCAAACCAGTTTAGCAGCAGGTATCAACATGCAGGCTGTGATAGTGCTCAGGGAATCAGCACAGAACAACCTGGACAATGAAGTACATGTGGATAATATGATGTCTAGAGTCAGGGTCAGCAGTGGTCAGTGCGAGTGAACCTCAGATTGACAGCCATTTTAACTAATGTGTGGGATTTAGGTCATGATATCAATGAGGCATCAAACCGCTGAAACGCTCTGAGGACCTAATCCTGCAAATGTGAGGTTTGGTAATCCCCTCATAACACAATCTAATGCTAGTTAGCTCAGATTGCATAAATGTGCTCTTCTTCTGCTGCCCATTTGGGGTCATTAACACACCGTGAAAACCAATGGACCATACGAACATATCCACAAAACACATGCATGCCCATTTAGCCACTTAATGCTAATTTGAGTTCTGAAGTGGAGAGGAGGCATTTACCTGCTCAGTAAAGTTGCCTCTAACATAACTTATTGTACTGTATGACACAATAATAGGCCTTGTTTGAGTTAAAGGGGCAGAGGAGTGGAGTTAGAGCCCCTCTCCCCGGTGCTGTCCCGTTACTTTACCTTGTTGAAGGCGAAAAGCTCCTGTTTTATCTTCTCTCTCTGCGGGTCTGTGCCCTGCCGACGAAACCTAAACTTCATCATTTTGAGGCCGGGGCAGGAAAATACAGCTGCGGGTGAAAGAGAGGACCACCCGGGTGAGATAGTCCGGGCTTCTCGGTGACTGAAAAGGCTGTGGTGCTCTGGAGGGCGATGCTAAGCTGCTAACAGACTAGCCCATGCAGCTGGAGCGGGGCTGGGGAGCTGCTGCTGCTGCTGCTGCGGAGACGCTGCTGCTGCTGCTGCTGTTCGGGGCTGCGGCTCGGCTCGGATCGACTCACTGCCTTCCTCTTTGCCCTCCTCTTTCCCCTTCTAAAGCTGCTTGGGTCGCAGTGGGTTTGACCACAGCCCCCTTCCACTCGGTTCACACGGACCCCGTCATTGTGAACCAATGAGTGTGAAGAAATCTGCTCCCAATTATTCAGAAACACCCACACACAGAGAGCAACTCGAGGGGTGCTCGATTTGAAGCGCGGGGTACACCGACTAAACGCACACACCCTTTGATACAAGAAAATAAACGTGAGCCTACAAACGGGTGTTCCGCTGCATATAATGAAACGAATGTATTTTAATATGAACATTTTGTAGTAAAATACAGAAATATACATTTAGGAGAAACAATAACAAGTAAACAAGGCACTATAAAATTCATTTTACATTTTACCCTAGATACACATTTTTATATACAGCCTTTTTCCAAATCATATTTACAGATTAAATACACTTTAAGTTAACTAACCTGTGCAAAATAATCTAATTTAGTGAATTAGTGAATGCAATAACTCCTCTCCTTCATACATATAAACCAGAGGCAAATTTTGTGAATGATAATGCACTTTTAAAATATGAGTCTAGTTTAGAGGTAGATATGCAAGAGATGTGCTACAGCAGGGTGATCTCACTCGGGGGCAGGGTAAGTCTCTTTTCTCTCACTGACAGCAGGTTTTCCATGTGCATTGCAATGACTCGACATAACTCCAAGCCCTAGATGAAAAAAGTAACAAATGTAGTAGACCTGAATGAACACTAAAAGGAACAATACTTCTACATTAAAACATGTACCTGCTCTAGCTGCAGCTGTGTGATCCTCTGATTTAACAGGTCTCCAATCAGGATATCGACATACGGAAAACTGGAGCCAGAAGTGGGTCTCTGGGTCCGGGTTGATTGGACTTCTTTCAGAGGGAAACGCACCATAGCCTCCTAGTTTTAAAAGAGTTACAATATGATTTTTTAAATGTAATAAAGTCAAAAGAAGAGGTGTAAAAAACGAAAATGTTGCATGCATGTATTAGTATCCAAACTAAGGATGTCTGTGTAATCCCTGTGTAATTCTGTAAATTTTGTCCAGTTTTGTCCTGAATTTTTCTTATGAAGAGTTGTAGATGGTCATCATAAGTCCAACAGGGGGTGCCAAATTCCTGACCTAAAATATATACGAACTTCTATGTAATATTTTATATACTGTGCTAAAAGTTTTCTTACGTGAGTATCTTTGTGGAGGAAGTGCAGTCCGTTCAGATTTACCGCCAGGATGCAAGGGGCTTGGACAGAAGCAGAGCTGGAACTCTGAATGTAGAAAAACGAGGAGCCAAACATCGGGAAGGCACTGACCAGGCCTGAGGATAAAGAAAAAGAAATGATATGATGAAGTTCATACAGTTCACAATCCTTACTGCTATAGGGATTATACATTTAACTAATCAGTATATAAAATTCAACTAATATTGTATAGGTAAGAAACAATGGGGTGAAAGAAATGACAGAAAGTACAGCTGGATAAGAAATCAGTGGATCAGGTCATGTGGACAAAATGGGAATTATGGCAGAAAAAGAAAGATAACATGAAATTGGTGGAGGAAAAAGTATAGCATTTGTATTAGTCTGTATCTCCACTTTCTGACTCAAAAGAAAAAGACATTTACCCAAAAATTGAGCTCTGGCCTGGTGTGGGGTTAATGGCTGGACATGCTGCATGTGCTGAGTCACCATGTTCAACCAAGGCTGTGAACCTTGTTTCGAGTAAAACTGTGGGGGGACAGACTCCTGCACGTCGCGGCTGCAGAAAAATCCAATTACAGTAAAAAACACAAAACCAGGAATAAGAGTAGGCACAAATTTTTAACTTTAACAGTGGTTCTCAAACCGTGGTACAGTTTGGTTTAATTTATAGCAGCACTGTGTGACATTTCTGTTAAAGGGTCCGCCACCTGCTTGTCACCATTAGGATTGTGGTGGATACCTCTGCCACAACTCCACAGTGTCAGTATTATTTCATTTCATTTTATTTCAGGTACATAATTTAATTCATTTATTTAGACTTATACTCTAATTTGGGTGCACACATTTTAGTTAATATAAATCTGAATTATATACTTACACTTGTTATTTTTCGTTTTGTTCGAGTGGTTAGACGGAGGACCTTTGGCAGACCATCAACGCCAAACAAAGGGGGGAGCACTGTTTAATTTAGTTTTACTAAGTTTGTTTGTCTAGTTTGTTTTAAGGTCACTTTATTATCACTTATTTTCTGTATTATACTTGTTTGCCTTCTTGTTACTTTGATTAAGTTAGTAGTTTTAATTAATTATTTAGTGTAATTCCCCCCTCTTGTGTTCAGTTTTAGTTGGGCCTCATGTATTTAAACACCACTGTTCTTTGTCTGGTTGGGTTAGTTTCGTTCTGTTCAGTGTGATTTATATTTCTCCAGTTGGGCCTGTTTTTTTTGTTAATGATTTACCTAATTTGAGCCTTTGTTAAATTACATTTGATTTTGAATTTATTAAATTCAAACAAATTTTTATACCTTGTCTTTGCCTTTCTGTTTGGTCCGCTACAAAGATCTTGTTGGTTTGCCTGGAATACCACATTATGGCATTATTATACATTATTATACCACCAGGCTTTGTTACAAGTCAGAGGCATGTCCACGTACAGTAAGAAGGCATGATTTTCAAGGTATTTCTGAGTAATAAGACTCCTGTGAATGAGCAAATTCCAAATATACATGTTTAATTCCATACTGCGGAACATTCCAGGTAAAGCATCTCCAAGGAGTAAAGTTACATAGTGCAAGTTCATATTTATATTCACATTTGGGTTAGTCCTCACTGTCATCATGATCATTTTTCACCTAGTTGAGCTATTTAAATGAGAAACTGCCATTGCTTTTGATCGAATTGTGCTTTTCTTGGGTCATACTTGACGTGAAAAGTTTAAAAACCACTGGTCAAGGGTTTTACATGTTTAAAATATGTGCTTACAGAGTTGGCAGGTAGATGGTATCTTTGGCACGATGCTGTAGGGCTGATAATCTTGCTATCTGCTGAAGATGCTGATCAGTCACATTACTTTGAGGGACCACACTTAACAAAGCTTTCAAGTAGTCTGGCAACACCTAAAACAGCAAAAAAATAAATAAAAAATCAAGACAATGCAACAGAAAGTATTCCAACGTAAACATTTATAGCACGTACCTGGTTGTAATGCATCATGACATAAAGCTCATTGTCCAGCTTTAGCGGTAAACTCCATATGACTCTTCTGAACCACAGACTGTAGTTGGCATCCACCGTCTCTCCTTCGGTAGTAATATCAAGGATGTACTCGCGCTTGTTTAGGGGCCGCACATTCTGACCTATATAACGCAATGGAGTGCAATATTAAACATCAGAACATCAATGATTCATTTGTTTGTCTTTTATACCTTTGTGCGTGACTAAAAAAACAGCATATTCATCCAAAGCTTCCTCCCTGTGCAGCTCCATCTCAAAACAAAGCTCTTCAATGACATCCAAAGCAACCTAAAACAAGTTCCGTTAAATAATTAAGGTATTCATCAAAAATCATTTATTATTTATATCAGAATGTGGATCATGTATCATACAGAGCATGTCTTGATTTTTAGGTGTCTCTCAATCCCCCCAGGCAGCAGGAAAAGTTGCCTCTTGGAGCTCCTCCCTGCCTGCAAACCCACAAAACAAAAAGGAAATAAATTAGAAATGACTTGAGAGGGAAAAAAAACAAAAAAGCGGACATACCAGCATAGCTTTGATTTCCATGTTGTTTGGATATTGGATACGTCCACCATACTGGAAAGTTCTCCGCAGATTCTGCTCACAAGCCTTTGCAATACCTATAACAAACACATAGTAATCACTGTACTTTAAGAATCTGCCCCTATCCTATTTCAATTTCTGTTTGTTTTTGTTGTACCTTGGTACTGAACACCAGGACCAGAACATGCATCCAATAGAAACTTCATGAGGAAAGGCTTCATGACGTCAGAGCAGCGATGAAAAGCTGTCAGAATGTACAGCAGCCTCCACCCCTTCTGACAGCTTTCCCTAAACCCACAAATACAAAACAAAAATCTTCAGAATGCACATTTTTCTTGTGTTTTGAGGTCAGATATTGTAATGAGTTGTTGTTCTTACGGTTTGGAGCTGGTGTTGGCAGTAACTTGCTTCATCACTTGGCAATATGCTTCATCCTTTATCAGGCCATGGTCCCCACTTAGCTGGTGACAATTTATTAATTATTTTGTGAATTATAAGTATATAATTAGAATTAGAATAGATTTTATAATTACCAATTACCTTCAGAATAGTGGTAACGACCTCCTGTTCTGTCAGGCCTTTTAGTGGATAATCTCCCATAAACTTCATTATGGCTGAACATTGAACACTGTTTAAAATTCTATTCAGCTGTATTCATTGAATTTCTATTTTTAATACACTTCACTCACCTAAAAAGATATCTGTAGCCACTCGGTTCATTCCACTGTCAGAGAAGTCGATCAGGGATTCATGTATTGGGGACTAATAAAATAAGGGCAACATTAACACAGATTATAAGAGGCATATTCAGTATGTGTAAAAAGTCTCGTTTACCTTTGAGAATTTGACCATATCTGCTGGGTCTCTAATCTCCTTTCCTTTCTTGGCTTTCTGATCACTGTGGGCAATTCATAAAACAGTTTAGTTGTGATTTAGTGACATATGTTGTTGAAGCAGGTGCATTTGCATCTGACCTGTTCCTCTGCGCCTCTCTGAAGTACTTCTTGGCAAACTCAGACATGTTATACTGACTGCTGTGCACAGGCAGATCATCCAGGTCACTGCTTTCTACAAACATCTCCGCCTAAGTAGATCAAGTTTATATTTATTAACGTGAAATTTGTTATGTAGAAAGCCAACATACTGTACATCATAATACTGTGTTCATGAGTAAAAAATGTTATGGACCTCAGTGGAGATGTCAAGCTCATGAGCTGCTACTGCTGAACCCAACGCCACAGCAACAGCAGCAGATGCAGCGACCCGCCCCTGTCTGTCCCGAGGTTCCACTCTCTCTGGAGGCAGCACCAGAAAGTCTGGGGCAGCCACAGGACGCACATATTCACTGGGGAACACTCCTGACTTCCCAAAAACAGCTCCAAATCTCCATCCTATAAGCCAGCACAGAGAAGTTGTTGAACAACTAAAGATTTACTGCATGAAATGTCCAAATAATTACTGATTTATTTTGCAAACATTTTGTACATATTTCCCACAGGTGTCACTGCTATAATTAGTGGTGGTCCTCATATATTAACATCAAAGCCCGAGGTTACAGTCATAAAGATTTCCTATAATGGATATTTGGGGTAATGGAACTAATAGTAAGTACCAGTCAGGTTCCTTTTTTATCCATTCTTACTCATTTCATGTTTGTAATAAGGGTTTAAATAAAATGTTTTTAAAGCAAACATACATTTCAATAGCTTATTAAAAAGCATAGAATGTGAGCAAAACCGAGGAGAAAAGCACAGCACAGCAAAGCCGACACAGCCCTAAAAGCACACAAACACAAACCCACCAAACTCTGGAGTGTCCCTCTTTAACTCCTCTAGAAGCATGACCTTTTTTCTTACTATGCAGCCGTAAGACTTGCCTGAACAGACAGTGACAGAAGCAGAGCGTTAAGCAAAGAGAAGCATTGGACAAGCACCAATAAGAAACGTGTGTCTCACCAGCGTCAAGGCCGTTCATGTTCTGGAGTTTGATGATGTCTCCTTTGTGGAAGCTGAGGAGATTCCTGTCTTCAGTGATGTAGTTTCTTACAGCTACTACATACTCGGAATCCTGAAAAAACAAGATTATTTAAAAACTTGGAAATGACAAAACAGTAAAATCAAATGGTATGAACCTCACGGTACGATATTTATTGCAATATCGTGGGAAAGCTCACGATATAGAGGGGAGGCTCACAATTAGGGATGTAACAATATCTAAATATCTCGGTACGATATTTTCACAATATATATCTCAAGGTACGATATTTATTGTGATATTTTGTGGAAGCTGCGAACAAAACTGTTAATATGCAACTTTTTCCTCTGAAAATGCCTTGACAAAACTTAACCCAAAAAACTAAGACTTAAAAGTACTTAGAACAGAACCATTTCTTCATGTAGTCTGCACTGAAATGAAGCAAAGGATTATGGTCTATGTAGTTCCCTCTGTCTTTTGCTCTATTGCTGCACCATAATTCTTAATTTAAGCAAAGAGACTTGTAATTCAATATATTGTGAGGGTCCACGATATTATTGTGAGAACTTTGATGATACAATATCACAATATTTCAGTTATTGTTACATCCCTAATACCAACCATAATCACATAACCAAATCACATTCATAAAAAAATATTGTTTTGGTGACTTATACGATTGTGATTGTGAAGGTGAAAATGACTCCCAGATTGGGGACACAAGGCAGTTTTTTCTTATTGGTTACATGATTATGTCTAAAAGGAAAATCAATAAACATTGAACCTAAACTTTTATACTGATAAGGCAACTGAACACACTCTTACAAAAAATGCAGACAGTACAATGATAGTCAATAATAGTAAGCTTACTCACATAAAAATATAGGCCCTATATACAGTGAGGTGAGGTAATCTGAAGCCACAGCTAATATTTCAATTATTCCATCTATTATTGTTTTGTTTAATAAATTATGTTTTTAATTGTTCACATTTAAAACTTATCTGACCTTCTTAAGCTCTGTGAGGAAATAGTCAATCATGTGTTTGACTTGTGGGGCTTTGGCAGAGAACAGGATCAGCTTCTCGTTGGTCAAGTTGAACTCCAACATATTATTAGACGGAATGGATACAAACAGGATGTCCGAGTAACTGCAGAGGAAGTGAGGCACAAAAACAGGAAGGATGTGAGACAAAGAGATCAAAGTTCAAAACATTTGGTCACCCGAGGGTCAGTCACCTGTACGGTCGTAGTACTCTGAAGTAGTCTGGGGCATTAGAGCTGCTCCTCACCATCTTCAACAGTTTGATGCCTTTATGAGAGACGGAGAGCACTTGTACCCCTGTTCCTACACTTCCCTGAAAACATGCACACGTATTTAAGTTTAAAGCGTATGGTTTGTTTAGCAAATGTAATGATAAACTCACAGAAGCTGGGAACAGTCTAGAAAAATAAATCTCCCATGAATCTTTCGCCATCGTAACCACTTTCTTCTTCACATTGTCGTCATGCTTTTCCGATGGTTGATCTATTTTGTGTTGAGCTGTTGTGGGAAAAATTACAATAATAAAGGAAAGTTTTTTTGCTTTTTTTTTTTTTAAACTGAGCCAAGAAAGGAACTGATTATACCAAAAAGATCTCTCATCTTCTGTCTCTCCTCTTGAGTGATACGAATACAGGCCTCTGATTGAGTATCATGCACAACCTATGCAAAGATAAATATGGAAGCAAAACCATTAATCACCATAGAACAGGGGTGTCAAACTCAAATCCACAGAGGCCAAAATTAAAAACTGGGACTAAGTCGTGCGCCAAACGAAATATTTATTGAAAAATTTCCAACATCTGCATGTTTTCTCTTCTTTCAAGATATGTAATGTTAAACCTTATCTTATTAAAATAAATGTTTCATAATAGTTTTGCTTAAACATTGAATCCAAAACAAGAATAATATAAAATAATAATAACATTTTAAATAAACAATGTCTCTATAGCCTACCTGTAGCTTTTGAACTCCTTTTATTTATTTATTTATTTATTTATTTTTTCAAAAGGCAACAACCAGTCAAAAATAACAACTTGCTTCAATGAAAATTCAATCTTTCAACTATGAACAGTCAAAAGTCATAAAGAAAACATTCATCCAAGCTCAGTTTGCTAGACTATGATTTACTCGGATGCACATGTGTCCAAAGTAGATACAAATACTTGACATCTCTTCTTAAATAAAAGTTCATCAAAGTAGTAGTATTAGTAGTAGTATTAACGGTGCATGCACTATACTGGCACGGTAGCCGGCAGGCCACCTCTAATACATATTTGATATGAGCTCACGGGCCAAGTATAATTATATTGCGGGCCATATTATCTGCCATAGAACACTGATTCACTAGCTAGGACCACGCCAACAACAACATAGTGTGAAGAAGTTTATTGATAATGTACGAAGTGGGGCAGAGATGGCTGGGTTGAGACTATGGGTGGGGGCTCCGTCTCAATCTGCAATTGGCCCAGTCGGAACGGGACCCCCTTGTACAGGTCTTATGACTGAAAGATGAACAAAATAGGGGATGGGAAGGTGGGGTCGAGTTAGCCGAGACAAACTGGGATGATGGGAAAGGCTGCTACATATAGGCTTCTGGGAAATTAGAGTTGAGTTGTGGTTCGCTGGTGAGAGGAGAGGGTGGCTGAGGCGTGGTCCTGCTCCTGAATCTCAGTTAATCATATCATTAACTACATATATAATAAATCAAAAACAGAATTATCACCTGTTTAAATAACATATCCAAAACCAGGGGGTTGTTGAATGTCTCTTTAGGATAAAACACCTGCAGACAAAATTTTAAATTAATAATGGTAACTTGTTCAAGAACTTTTAACATAATATATAAATTCAAAACTAGATCAGAAGCAATACCTCTTTCCTCATGTAGAGTTTCCACGGCACATTGGTGTAAGTGTAATAATCCTCACTGGTCCGACTGTGGAGTTGAGTCTGAACGGCCTCGTCTTCAATAGGCAGCTCTCTGGAGACTGGATAAACAGAAGAATAGTGCAGATTTTGCTTGTTTTTGCTAATCTCCCACACAGTTAACATGAGCTCACCTGGAGGAGGGGCGGGGCTGACAGGTACAGTAGTGATGCCATTAGATTGTGCCTTGGTTGGTTTTGTGACTTTTAATCCATCTTCTTTTTGTTGAGTGGGTGATGGTTTTCTTGGAGTCTATAAGAAAAACTATTTTAGGCTTGCTGTGCTTTGTGCATATGTACAGTAAATAGGAGTAAAATAGTGATAATTGGAATATTTGTTAATAATATTGTGTATTTTTTGTGGTAGGCAAATGTCCAGTAACATGACTGTGTGATAGTTAGACAAATTGTATTATCTGATTTGACTGCAATGTTCTAAACCCCTTTATTTAATGTATGTAAATAAGCAAACAATAAATGAAAGAAAAAATGTTATATATACCGGTTGTGGTGGGTTTGCCATCTGGTCTTTGAGGATCTCCATTGCTTCATCGTGAGGGTCTGGCTTTTTTGTGAAACCCTTCCCATCACCTTTTCTAAAATAAAAAAAAAAATCACAAAAACATTAAGCTTTACAAAACTCCTTTGTACGAGTGATTGTATTAATACTTTGCAGCTGATGTCATTAACATTTCCTGGGAGTGTGACGCTGACTGTAGACACTACTTTGTCAGAGGCGTTGTTAGGCTTTAATCTGATGTTTTTTTTCCACATAATCTGACCAAAAAAAACTAATTTAGCGGGAAATGCAAGGGGTGATCTGATATGTGTGTTAATTCCCTCTCAAATAACATTACAGTCACAAGCTACCTAGCACTGGGATCAGCCCTATGTTCCCTTATTTCTAAGATTTTTCTCAAAATTAAACTCTAAATCAAGTCATTTTTATTTTTATACTGCATTTACAGGGATGATTCAGAGCTATTTCAACCTAGGATCCTTTGCACCGTGACCTCTACATTACAATACTGGACAATAGTTTGGGAGTAATTGACGACCAAATTGGGAGAAATGGGGATAAATTCTGATCCAAATTGATGATGAAGGAAATGTGGGAATTTAGAGCCTAATTTTGGAAGGAAAAAAAAAAAACTTAGAAATGAGGGAACATAAGCACGCTACCCTAGCATTAGCCAACAGTTTTTCAATTAGTCACACTCAACTTTTTGTTGAAAATCAAAACAAAAGAACATGATCGCTTGTATTGATTAGAGGCTGCTGAAAATATGTTATTTAAATCCACTTTGTATTTTCTGTATCTTAAACCTCATCAGGCTGTGTTTACTGATGTGTGGCCATGGCAACATTCCAACATTAGAGATAGATGTATAACACCCCCAGCGTGATGTTACTGCAAAGTATCAGTAGATCTTTTGCGTAGCTGACCCAGCGGAGGTGGTTGAGCCCGCTGGCTGATGCTGTTTGATGATGTCTTTGATGTCATGGCTGGGCTCCATGCGCTGCGTGTTATTAGGACTAGAGCGCACCACATCCTCAGGAGGAGGACCGCGTGTTGGACCTGGACAAAGATTAATACATGGTTTGAAAATGTTCAGAAAACAACAAAAATAAGCAATTTTTCTCTAGCATACTTGTCCTCCTGGTAGGTGACCCTTCACTGTCTTTTGTCTGCAAACATCAAAGTGTGAAATGGTCAGACTGTCATAAGAGCAGTCAGTGTAATATGGTTGAATATTGTTTACTGACAGGGCTGGCTGTGTAGGAGCGCTGTGGAGAGTACGTGTGATGGTGAGTGGGAGGTGACTGAGGAGCTGGTGTAGCAGGAGGAAAGGATGACAACATCTGCTGCTGAATTGCCATGGCCTGCATAGTCATCTGCTGAGCCTACAACAAAATCATAGCATGAATATTTTTTAGAACAAATAAGTAAATAATAATCCTCGTTATTCACCATTTGAAGATAGTAACATACCAAGATTATAGCTTGCTGGTTGATGATGGCTTGCTGCTGTTGTGTCAGCACTGTTTGTTCTGATGCAGACAAAACACATTTATGACAAAAAATATGAGTGAGGCGAAAAAAATATGAGTTCTATAAATTGTGTTCTGAGAAGGGTTCTATATAAGGGTAATATAAAAAATATCTGCCTTATTTGATTTTATACAAGAAAGTTAATTGCAAACTCAGTCTGATGAATAGAATTAAATAATTATTGAAACCATTTCATGTTATCTGAAATAAAATGTGGTATATGGGCACAGAAATGTCTGAAGAATAAGAAAATCTGATGCATTGCTTTAGGAAAAATGTGTTTGGGATGGCTGCTGAAGAGGGTTAAGCATTGATTAATAGGGTTGGAATTAAATGTTCATCAGTGTATTCAGTAATGATATAGATACTGGTCAAGGCAGACATAAATTAAGCAAAGATGGGATCTCAGATTTTAGTTAACCCAAAGACACACAGTTTTAAAGGTTTAACAAACATTATCTTGCCAGTGTATTTAAAAACGATCACACATACAAAACACTGTTCATTCAATTAAATCATTTTGTGAAGAGCACGTCACCACGCCTTCAGGCCAAACATGCAGGACAACCTGGGTTTGTACCTGGCACACCTGACATCACAGGTAACCCAGGGACTACAGACGAGGAGGGGAGGGCACCCATTCCTGACAGCCCAGGCACACTACTGACATCAGTGTCCAGGACCTGAGCTGCCGCAGAGGGGCGTGCTCGGGTGGGTGATGAGGAGGGAGAGACATGAGAGGGAGGGGTGTCAGAAGTGAGAGTCCTCTGGCGGGAAGGCTGTGGTCTGTTGTACTGGTGGTACTGGGGCGGCTCTGGCTCCGGTGGCGGCTGCTGTTGCTGTTGATGGTATTGTTCATGGTGGTGGTGGTGGGAGGGGATTGGCATGGTGGGAATGGGTGGCATCATTCCTCCTGCTACTGGGAGCACTGGCACAGCTTGAGGACCCACAGGTAACAACTCAGTATTAGTGATCAATTAAGCTTCTAAGCTTTAAAACTTTTATCAGATTTTAATTGGTCTGGTCCCTGCCTTTTCAAGTTGATATCATCAAGATCATAAACATAATTAAAAAATAAAGGAATTGTATATGAAACAGTATGATATGCATAGTATGTTTACAATATACAAAAAAATTATGTCTTTCTCCTGTAGACATTGTTTGGAATATACCAAAAAAGCTATCTGAAATGATCTCTCTAGTGCACAAAATGCTACAAAATGAACAAATTAGTTAGCCAGGTTTCAAACTACTGGATCACTTGCTTCAAAGAAGAGTCAGAAGAGAAAGAAGGAGACAGACAATGATAGATCCCTATGAGCCAAGGTTAAATGAGTCATCTGTGGTTACAGTGAATGACTGCCCATACATTATGGATGTAGCCAGACTGCTCATTACAGCCTCTAAGCAACAGATTAAGTTTGGCCAGCTGTATAACTGGCCCTTTACACCTTACACTGTGCTGCCTGTTGAGTATCATCAGTAACAAAACACATTACATGGATTAAGTTGAACAACCAATAACTTTGTGAAATTAATGACAAATTCGGTGTAAACTTGTGGTTTTACAATTCATTGAGCAAGCTAAATATTTTAGTGCAGAAGAAAAACAATCCTACGCGTTTACCTCCGGGGTGTATTCCTGGTGGGTACGGCCGAGTGGGTGCTCTGTTTCCTCTCTCCTCCTCTGTGATGCCAATACCACCTCCTCCTTTCATTCTGGCTGACAAAGATCTTTCCATCTCCTGAAGTGCACACATATATTTCATTACATAACACAGAACGACTGGGAGGAATTTAGCTGCACTATTCTCTTATAATAAATATTATGTTTAATTTTAGTTTTAATTGTTTTTATTAAAAAGCACATTGAATTAGTTTGTGTACAAATTGTGCTTTACAAATAAACTTGCCTTTCATAAAATTTACAAATTACCAGTTTTTTTGCAGTAAGCTGCATTGGTTAAGATTACTTTTCACATTAAATAACATATTTTCGAAAACTAAACCCTGTGAGTGCTGGCTGGGTTTAAAAACATTTGTTCCATTTGTGAAACTTATCCTCCTAATTAATCAGATGACAAATCGATCACACCAAACAGAATAACTCACTTACTTACAAAACGTATGTCTAAATTTGATGTCATTTCATATCAAAGGTCCTCAAAAATATATCCACAAAAAGCCACTGTTCCTTGTGTGGTTCATACTTCTTCAGTTTAAAACACTTGCTCATGTACTCTGCCTGCTGTACAAGTCAGATACGGTATGAGGCTTGGTAACCCAATCATCCTTCTAACCGGGTGATAAAGTCTGTTCCATTCATACACCTACACAGGCAAGGTCACGTGACTAACCCGTCTATCATCTCTTTACTCCATTCACATACAGGGAGCTTAACTGGACTGGACAAACACACATCTAAATACTTGCCAGATTACTGTTATACTATCTGCCATCGGTGATACCTATAGCTACTTCAGTAACATAACACTAGGCCAGTACAGCTAAAATGGCATAGTATTGAAAACATTATAAGTTTGTTTTATTAAAAAGAAAACATCTGAGGCATTCCGATTGTGTAGATATGGTCTGAAGAAGGCCCACACTGCCGAAACACGTTGGCTAGTTGGAGTGCCTGATTTTTTTCTTTTTAATGTTTATAAGTGAAGTTTTCCCATTGTGGTCCTAATGAGCACCTGGCCTCTCTAAAACGTGTTTGTTTTATGTTTTTTTGTTTTGTTTTGTTTTTCAGGGGACATGAAAATAATGTGTGCAAAGGAAGCATGTAAATAAAATTGGTAGGAAAAGTAATAATACAAATGTAGGCCTCAAATAAGTGGCATGATACTTAGAATAACATATCGCTTAAATTGTCTCTGAACTTTAAATTTGAGTTTACAACTTATTATGATACAAAACTTGATGAGGCACTCTATGTTGCAAATATTAAAAATATAACATCTGCTTCTTAAAAATGAAAAGAAGAGGTTTGGGGCAGCATAAAATTTACAAAGGAGGAAAAACCTCAATAGTCTATAGTAGGTGTACTTACTGCACTACTATCGGACAGAACCGGGTCAAACAGAGAGTCCAAATAGCGGTCCATGCCTCTCTGAGTTTGACCATCACTGAAGCCGTCAGATTCTGTTGCCAAAAACACATATATATATATATTGAAAAATACTGCTAATTTTAAAACACACTAGCTACTTTATATTGTTTAACTTAGAAATGTATTTGCAAAGTATGCACCATGACTGTAGTAACCATCAGAGTCCGGCAGGCTACGAGCTGGTCTACTCCCACCTGGGGCTGAGAAAGGAGAAATTTCTTCATCTGAGTCAAAGCCACTGCCAACCATTGCACTGAAAGGCAAACAAATGTATATTATTTTTAAACATTTACATGCATTTCTTTGTAGGTAATTTTTATATTGTGTAGCTCTTACAGGCCAGCATTAGCTCTGATTTTTGTTGGGTCGTCTGTGCTGATTATGAAGTAACTCTTCTGTTTGGGAAAGTGAGAGGGAAGCTCCAGGTCTGCAATTAGGTCCATCACATAATCGTGTCCAGCCAGCTCAACCCACTGACCATGCTCCTTCATCAACACTGAGCTCCCCTTCCACCAGTCAGACACACCCCTATAATAACATGTCATTCAAAAGTCATTTACAAATAATAGTAACTGCATGTGCCCAAATTGCTTTTTCAAAACTGTCTTGGCACCTGTGTCTCAAAATATCTCCCGCCAAGTCCTCCCCACTGGTCCATGAGTGAACCGGACATAAGAATGACCCACCTGAAAAAAACAAAACAATATTTCTGTATAGTAGTTAAATTTGAAATGTTTTGACATGTGGAGTTTAAAAGCAGAGAGCCGATATCACCTGATCCTGACAGGCAATAAATAATCAATGACTTTGTGGAGTAACTGATACCCGCATAAGTGCTTGTGGCAAACCGAGTACTGGAGTTGGAAAAGACTGTTTACTAAATATGATATGACAAAATACGTTTAACAAGACACCTGCATTGTTCTTGGATAGTAAGTGAGACTCAGAACACCTTTTAAAAGAGCATAAATTATAACGTGGTTTCCATACTGCTTGCGTGGCTCACCGTCAAAGCAGTGCACGTGTAGCGCCATGTTGGCCTTCTTTCTATTGGCCGTCCACTCCAGCAGGGACAGCGGGTAAGTGCGGGCGGTCTCTGTGCCATCTCCAGAGCTGAACTGAGTCTTCTGACCACCCTGGATCAACCTGTGCTGCAGCATGGCCTGGTAACCAGCAGGGGCATGGTCAGACACAAACCTGGCGGGAAAAAGCTGTATTAGCAAAAATCCATAAAGGACAATTTTCTTTTAAACATATGAAATCTCCTACTTGAGCAGATATTTGTCCATCTTGGCAGAAGGGGTAAAGCTGCACACACATCCCAGCAGCAGCAGCCAGCCTCTCTCAGCGTTGTCAGGGTTGATGTTTCTCCAAACCTGGTTGACCACCTGAGCAAAGATCTCATCGCGAACACCTGGTGAGACAATTCCTCTCTGGATGATGTAATTCCCAAACATATTCTCCTGGGCTCCATTCAAATGAGGGTCCCCCATGAAGCGTAATACCTTGCAAATGCAAGATTAAGAGGAGATAATAAACAAAAAGAGGAGAGCATTTAAATTCTATAGTGCAGACCACACATTACCATAATAAAGAGCTGGAGAGCTTCTTCTTTAAGATCCTCTTCCACTCGGGTTAAAGGAGTCTCCAAAGGGGCCATCAACATACCAAACTTTGGTTGCTAGAAAGAAACATAAAATATATATAGCAGCATGTGATACAAAGTGTGTAAAGCTTGGTTCACAAGAATATTTAAACAAAAAGTTACCTTGAAGTGAATCTGTACATAGCGATAGAAAGTGAAATTATTGATGTCCAAAGGCAGAGTGAGTTGAGTTTGTTCCTGAATATGAGGAGCCTGAAGGAGAGCCAGACAGTCCGAGTGCAGCTCCCTTCTGGCTGGAGACAAACAAAAATAAAATGGTACAGGATGTTAAAAAACCATTGGATTTGAAAAATAGTTCTGTAACATGTACTGTTCTGTTAAATATATCCAATAGCTGTATCAGTCTAATTTATCACAAATTCTTTTATAATGAGACATATGCATCTACATTAACCTCCTGCTGTCTGCAGCAGCGCGCCAAGCTCTGCAGGGATCACCAGGTGTGTGACATTAACCACCTCCCGTTTGGTCAGCTCCTAAAGAAATCAAAAATATTATTGACTGTTATTGACTATTCACTGTTTTCCAATGTCCCTTTTTTTTTTTTTTACCAATTCTCTTTTCCGTCTTTCCTCTTGTGCCCTCCTTTTTGCCTCAAACCTTCTCTGCAAATACATAAAATAAAGCAACGTTAATTCAAATATAACACATTAAAAATGTGTCTGATTTGTGAATTATCATCAGAAATGATATTTCTTCATGTACCTTGATGTATTGTTTGCGATTCACATACATATGGATCAAGGATCGGAAACGAACCAGACTTTCTCTCATTTTCATATAGCGCTTCCTGGAAAACCAATCATCATTTACATTCACATCTGCACACAAACATGTTACTTTATAGTGAAGCAATAATAAGCAGTGAAGTACCTGGCGAGATAGCCTCTGCAGCGGGCCTGGAGCCGGATCATTTTGTTGCGGAACTCTTTGTAGCGTTTTCGGACGAAGAACATGCGAGTGTAGCGCTGCAGAGTGAGAGCAGCGAGGTGACGGGAGCGCTCTCGCTTACACTCCAACAACTGATAAATGTCTTCTTTCAGAAAGATCTAGAGATTAGAGGCACAAGTCCAGCAAATATTAGATTTAAATAAAACCCCCCACACACATGTATTTCCTCGTGTAAATGAAAAATAAGACTTGCCTTTGTGACCCCCACATGGTATAAACCCGGTCGGAGAGGGCACAGTTTACTCAACATTAGCACACAGTTCTCTCCACTGGCTGCAGGAATCTGATGCACCCCCACCAGAGACTTGTACCTTCACAATAACCAGAAACATAGGATTAGATTTTAAAAAAAGGGAGAGAGAGAGTTGTGAATAATTCCACATATATGCATAATACCTAAAGAGAAACACATCAAATTGCATTCTGATAGGATATCCCTCTCTCCGGATCCTAATTGTCTCTAGGATACCAGAATGTCTAAGCTGGTGACTGACCAGTTCATCTTCAAACACACTTGGTTCCTATAAAAAAAGCTGGTGAACTCGCAAATAAAAAGTAAATTAAACAATATATAATGATCCAATACACTACCTTCAGATTATTTGGCTTAATACAGCGCACAAAAAAAGGATTGCACCTGAACAATAAAAAGCAACAATAAAGAAATGTACACTTCAAACAAACTTCAAACTAAATTCTAAATTGTTAAATAAATGTCCCCTACCTCTCCATCTTCTCCACCAGCTCCAGGAGGGATTGCTGGAACTTGCTGCTGACTGTGGAAGCTTGGTATTTTCGTGTGACTGTGCTGCTCTTCCTCTTGTGACCCTTTTGTTGGCCTATGAGCTCCTGGTGTGCCACAAAGATGTTGGACACCATCTACACACAGGTATCACACATTTATATGACCCAGTTACATTTGAGTTATGCACTGTACACATGTTAACCTTAGATTTACCTTGTTCTTGCTTTGAATGAACAGATCAAGAACATCTTGCCGGACCTGGTCATAGTTCTTATCAAGAAACTTATGAACCTGAATCAAGAACAGAGAAAATTACAAACAAAAAATATTTAATATACCTCAACCTCAAAAAGATGAATGAATACGATGTGACTACTACCTGATAAGTGACCCGGCCAGCGTAATGTTTGATACTAAACTCAGGAGTGGGCATTTTTGGCTTAATGTACAGTGGGTTGTGGACGTGGTGATAATGACATTTTTGTAGAAAGGTGTGGTCTGTTGCCTGACAAGCAATTTCAATTAAATATTATTAGTATGAAATAAAAAAATAAATTTTCTTAAGTTTATATTTTTTTCTCTCTACCTGTGGAAAACAGCTTTGATCATCTAATATTCTCAATATCCCATGAGGCTTTGCAGCAATAAGGTCAATGCAGGGTTGGTTGTCACTGAAAGGAATGTCTTGCCAAGGGACTTGTTCCCTGCTATATTCTTCCTGAAAATAAAAACAAAAACTCATTAAAGCACAGTTTTGCTAAATTATTCATGTTATAATGGTGTTAGCTTCTCAAAAACATACCATGAGTTTTGTTTCATTCACACATATTTCAGTAATCCTTCATTATTAGTGTGTCTACATCTCCAAAGCTCAAAATGTTCTGTCACATCATGTAGTAACAGTTTTCAAGTTAACAGCTCCTTTTACCTTTACCAGGACTAAAATTGACAAAATCATTTGAGTGACCACATATGGCATTTATAAACACAGTGGAGCCCTTCCTATATTACCACAAAACATCACAAGGTGGAACTGTGTTTTCTGTCTGAAAGAAGATCTCATCCTAAATATGTAGGGTTTGTATGTTAAACAAGTGTGAATGAAACAATACTCCAGATGTGTCTTTGATGAAGAAACAACATGGTGTGTAATATGGGCCCTTTTGCGTAAAAGAAAATCAGATATGCATGCAATAACTTGTTTTATTACCTGTTCTTCTCTGAAAATGATCCGATTGAAGAAAAATTGCAGGTACTCATTTGCATAGTTGATACATAACTGCTCAAAACTGTTGAAGGCCAAGTCCTGTTTTAAATATTTATTAGATTGAAATTTAAAGGCACACACGCACACACAAATAATAATGACATTTTTAAACTGTATTAAGTCGTACCTCAAAGCCATAAATGTCCAGGATAGAGATGGAGAGTGTGTGTTGATGGGGGTACACCTGAGAGTTAATCTTCTCAGTTATCCAGTGGAAGAGCAGTGAGTACAGGATCTTGGCAACTGCATCTCTGAGACCAAAGAAACGGACTAAAGCTCAAATGGCTAATGATAGCACCACCTGAAGCTGTCCAAATGTGTTCTTTTTTACCTGGCATCAATAGCACTCTCTACAGTAAGTGGTGTGAAAATCCTATCCCTCATAGTGTCCTGAAATGTGCAAAAAGAACATGATTCAAACAATCTGACATCATGTGTAGTACAAGAACTAACAAAAATGGACCACTGGCATACAGACCGTGACTTTGTATGTGATGGCTTTCTGCAGCCCTTCAGGGGAGATTTGTAGAAGCTCAGACACCACTCTGATCTCTTGGGCACTGATCACTGTCGCCACCTCCTGGCCATCAGCCTACAATGCACCAGTAAACAGATGTGCCATTTAAACACAAGAGGCAGCATTAAATAGTATGACAAACCAAATAGACATACTTACGTCATGTCTTTGAAAGAAGATGTTGCCCAGGTGCAGAATAGAAGCGAGAACTCTGAAGATGGAAGACTGGTCCTCAGGAGCAAAGTGAAGGATTTCCATGGCAGCTACAAGTCGACGGTAATCTTCTGCATCATTTTTTCCTGTAATCCCACAATCCCCTCCCTTTACAAGAAGCAACACGATACATTTCAGACAGTTGTTCCTAAACTTTGTAAACTGTAGATGTGTCTAGGTGTACCTGATTGAGGTAATAGTACGTCTCAGCACCCTGTAGATAGAAAGCTCGCTTTTGTTGTGATGGAAGACCTGCCAGCATCTCGTAAAAGATGTGATAGTTCCTCTCATCTTTGGCCTTGAAGAACAAGTACATCACTTCAACATGAATAAATGACACACAGCATAAAGTTACTTAGGTAAGCCCCAGACAAAGTATGTTACCTGAAAGACAATACGAGACTTCTCCAGCAGATACTGGGAGGTTATGGCACCACTGATCACTCCGCTTAAATAAAATAAAGAATATATAAAATATAAGGTTAGTGGGAAAAAAACTGTAAACATGTGTTTTATTACACTTACTTTTCTAAAAACACTTCAATGTATTTTCCAAAGCGACTTGAATTATCATTTCGCACAGTTTTGGCATTTCCAAAAGATTCCATCAGAGGAGCTGCCTCAAGTATCTTCAAGGGAAAAGGAGAAAATAACACTTCAAAGAATCATAAAAGATTTACTGCTACATGTTACTTAAAAGACAACCACTCCAAAAAGGGAAAAAAAAGAATAAAGCTATAAATTCTGAAAGTGACTAATGATAAATTTTTAAAGCAAACAAAAAACAATAACAAAAAATTACAAGCAAAGCAATCAACCACTATAAACAGCTACAGCTCTACTAATTACAAGTGGAGAAGCACAAGTCATGCAATGGGGCCACACTACCTCAATCTTTGATGAGTCAGGTGAAAAACAAGTTAAAAATAAGATACAAGTTTAAATGTTTTTTGTAGGTTAAATATATTAAGCTAAGTATAACAATGTTTATAATGTAAAAGTCAACATGTACATACCTGTTGTGCAACATTGCTCGTGTGCTGAATTGCTGCTAGGTAACGAAGGACTAGTTTTGTCGCCTCAGTTTTACCAGAGCCACTCTCTCCACTAAACCAAAAATATATACGAAAAAAATTAAATAATAATATTATACCATCTTAGGGATAATAAACAAGTCATTAAAGCGTTTGACTTTACACAAGCTTAATTTAAAGTTCATCTAAATATTAGGCTGAAGTGATTTCCATTTGTTCATTGAACTGCTTGAAAGACACACCTGTTGTATGCTACTAACATCTTAATACTAAATACCATCATTATGGAAACATAGCCAAGGAGAGGAACGGGGCTGCATTGGTGTTTAAGGACATTGGCACCTTGGCCACATTACAGTATTAGGTTTCAACTCACGGGCTGTGAAGCTAAAAAACTGGGCCATTATTGGTCACTGTACACCAGACCTCAGTTACCCCTTAACATGCGCTCACGATCACATGTACACGTAGCAGGCGTGCACACAGTACACACATGATAGAAAGCTGATCTGCTACTGGCCTAGACTGTGCGGAGTTTTCCTTACAGGCCCTTCCACACTGAGCCACACTGAGCTGCATTGTGCATGTGAGCCATTTGTGGGCTAATTGGAACAGCACATGTTTGTGTACAGGTGCACATGGCTGTACTTCACTGTATATGATTACATCTAAGTGCAGCCCCAGCAGATTTGCTTACAGTTTCTATATGCATGTGTGCTTTTCTCATTCACGAGATCAGTTTTTGACAGACGTCTGATAGACAGAGTACGGCAGGAATGAGAGATGACTCTGTATTAAGTTTGCTGGCAAGTAAACCACAGACAGAAACTCATGAATTTGCAAAGACAAAGTCAACTGGAGATGGAAAATGTCCTTAGTTCCATTCACATGTCTACACAAGGTTAAACCCATGATGTACAGTGTACTGACTGCAACTTCACTCTCTCCACAAGCCCAAGCACTATTATCTTTGTGGACTATGTATTATAATAATGTTCTGTAATGTAATCCTTTATATAGTAACAGTACAAAATGTATATGCCTTCCTAATGATATGATCATTTCATGAGCCTCAGTACATTTTTCAAATGAAGTACACAATCACAGTGAGAAGAATACCTGATTATTATGACCTGGTTGTGATTGGCATCCATCAGTTTGGAATAAGCAGCATTTGCTATGGCAAACAAATGCCTGGAAACAAAAATTAGAATAGGAAAAACAATTGTTTCCAATTTGTACATAAAATGTAAGATGGAAACCATTTTAACTAAGATCTCAGAAGTTATAATTACATTATGATTAAAAATCAAACTTACGGAGGGTTCTCCCCAAGAGCATGGCCCTTGTAAAGTAGCACCTTGTCTGTCCCATAGATGTTGTACATCCTATAGGGATTCACTGACACCAATATACTCCCAATATATGTCTGTCAGAAAGAGTGTTAAAAACAGATCATTAGCCAATGTCTTTAGAGGAGTGTAGTATATGGAGTGTTACTTACATAAATGAGCTCCCTCTGAAATCTTGTCTTTATGTTCAGCAGAACAGCCTCTTCATGCATCTCCCTGTATAACACATCAAAACAATATAAACACATAACAGATCAATGTGGTTTAAGATATTTCTATTTCACGTAAGCAGTCAGCTGGCTAAGTGATAGAAATCTGCAGGTTTTTAAGAGTGAGAGCCCAGATCAACTTACTCTAGTTGTGTCATATCCTCCACACCTTCCACTCTTTTTTGCCGCTGAGTCACAGATGACAAGCTTCGGATAGAGTACATCTACAAAACATACACCTACAATAAATAATTCATTTTCATCATTTATTTCACTTAATGCATTCATATGATTTTATTTCTCTGAGTTCACCTAAAATATACTTTCCAATAATGCAAATGCATTACAAATATTACACTGAGATTTGCTGGTGTACCTGATACAAACTAATCACTGATATGTCCTGAAAATGCATATATATGCTATTCTAAATTTAAACAGTTTGAATGTATTTATTCATTTATGTTTATTTTACCTTATCATACCAGTTCCCCTCCGGTTCTCCCTCCCTGCTCAGATTCCACTGTCCTTGATCCTGCCCCATTTGTCTTTGTACTCGGGAGTCGTGTGGGATCAGGAGCTCCCCATCTCCATACATTGCCCACTCATCTTGCATTTCCATCCCGTCCATTCCTGGACCATGAGCCCAGTGCTGTCCAGGCCCTGCCCCTTGGACTTGTGGAGACACTATGGCATATGAAGGCAGGCGATATGACGCCCCCCGCAAGTTAGTGTTTAGTAGGGCACCAGAGAGGTTAAGGCTGCGGGGTTCTGGGGTTTTAGGAGCACCTAGCCTGGTCATTATATTGCCTTCAGGAAGACGATATTTAGCTTGGCGAAGGTTTGGGTTTTTGGACAAAGCATTCGACAGGTCAAAGGAACGGGAGTCTGCAGCTTGCTGCCTTGGATTCATTAGGGATCCATCAGGCAAGCGATACGTGGCCGACCGAACATTCTGATTGCGTAGGGCATTGGAAAGGTCAAGGGAACGTGATCCAGATGTGTCACTAGAACCAGGTTGCCTTAGGAAAGAGGTATCTGGAAGTTTGTAGGATGCCCCACGCAGGCCTGTGTTTAGTAAGGCACCAGAGAGCATTGGCCCTGAGGGGGGAGGGGGAGTAGGTTCATTTCGTGAAAACAATGATGATGCACCAGGGAGCTGAAACTTTGCCATCCGCATATTAGCATTCATTAAGGCACCAGATAACCCAGGGGAGGACACAGCACTTTGAGGAGTTGGTTCCTCCCTTCCCGGACGAGATAGAATTGAACCATCGGGTAATCGGTAAGAGGCCATTCGTAAGTTAGAACTGAGAATAGAAGAGGAGAGCATGGGAGAAGAGGGAGTGACAGGCTCGGACACAGGCTCCTCTCTTGAGACTAGAGTTCCATCTGGTAGACGATATGTGGCTTTTCGGACATTGGGGTTTAGCAGTGCAGAGGAAAGCATTGGTGACATAGGGGAAGGAGTTGGTGCAGGTTCTGTTCTGGTAACCAGTGATCCATCTGGCAAACGATATGTAGCCTGACGCAAGCTGGGGTTAAGCAAGGCAGATGAGAGCATAGAAGAGGAGAGGGGGGAAGGAGCTGAAGTAGGTGCAACAGCAGGTGCAGCAGTGCTCTGGGGCATCCTCAAAGTGCCACTTGGAAACCGGAACATTGATCCCTGGATCTGGGAAGTTCGTAGTCCACCAGAGAAAATAGGAGTAGTGCCAACACTGGCTTCTGGTTGCTGAGTTGAAGGAGGAGCAGAAGAGGCAACAGACATTGGGGAAAGGTGACGTTGAAGAGGTGAAACAAAGGAAGCATTACGTAGCTGGGATGTAAGCATAGTTGAAGACAGTTGTGGTGAGGATTGAAGAAGGGAGGCAGGGGCCGTCGCTACCTGTGGGGTGTAAGAACATTTGTAAAGAGGTTAGCATTGCGCAGTAAAGGAGAAGTACTGAGAACAGATGAATTCTGCATTGACATTTTGGATAGACCAAGAGAGTCATTGGGGGTCACCTCTTGGCTCACCTGTTCGCTGGATATAATTTGCTGCCCATCAGGCAGTGGAGAGGTGCTTTGTTGTAGAGGAGAAGATGTATTGTTGTTCTGCAAGTAAGGATTCTGAAGAGCACCTCCCAGAAGAGACGATGCAGATGCAAGGGGTGAGGAAGCTCTAGATAGAGGAGATGGAAGTAAAGGAGAAGACATTACTTGAGGGTTTGGTAAAGGATTTCCCAACATTGGTGACTGTCCTTGTTCCATCATAGTTAGGCCATGCTGGGGTACGCTTTGTAATGGTGCTTGTGGTGCCATGGGTAAAATAGGCTGGGGCATTTGAAGTGGCTGTGCAAACATTTGTGAATTCATGCTTCTAAGAGGCAGTGGAGATGCAGGATGAGAAAACTGGTGCATGGGAGAAGCTGCACGTGTGGTTAGAGGAGATGCGGGATGGCTCTGGAACCTGCGCACGGATGGTTGTGGAGATATAGGGCCATTGTGTTTTAAAGAAGGCTGTGGTGACATGGGAGGTACAAGAGGAGGGGCTCTAAATGACTGCCTAGATTGAAGAGAGGGGTTTCTGGCCATACGCACCAGTGGTTGTCCCCTCCCCACAGGTCTGTGAAAGACTCCTTGAGAACTACCAATTTGATGTGGTCCTACTAACCCTGTAGGTCGCGAGCCTGATCTAGCTAGCATAGGGGGTCCACCTCCGATCTGAGCTGTTGGTGAAGTATGACCACTGTGGATGGATGATCTAAAAGGAGCTACATGCGTAACAGGGGGCCCATGTCTACTCCGTCGGTTTGGGGAGGGCTTGACTGCTCCCATTGGCACCTGTGTCCTATTTGGTCCACCTCGGCGTCTGAGAGTGGAAGCTCTGGTGGGGAGTGGACGCCTGGTAATCTGTGATGGGGAAGTGGAGGGCGGGCGATGAGGTGAGGCTGGTCGAAAAGCTCGGGGTGGAGATTGAGGTCTTTCAGATAAAGGGGGACTTCGCCTTTGAGGGGATGGAAGTGTGGGAGAAGAGGAATGCTTCTGCCTAGATGTTTGGTTTCTTCCTTTAAACACATTAGGCCTTGTAGATGGAAGGGGCACTGCATCTGGAGGGGGCTGCTGTCTGAAAGAAAGTCTTGGAGAAGAAGGTCGTCCTGCTCGTTTCCTGAACGATGCCTGTGGAGAGGCCAGGGGGCTTGTAAGTGGTGATTGAGCCCTCTGTGTTGGAGCTCTTTGCAGACCGGTGCCTCTTCTTCCTCGAGCCAAAGATGGCTGTGTTCTTCCTGATATTCCTCTTCGTTGTTGAGAGGGAGAAGGTGGCGGACTCGGGGACCTTCGCCGCTCTCTTGGGGACATTGGTGGACCCCCAACTACTGAGGCACGGTTTGCAGGGTCTCTTCTGCGCATACGGGGAGAAAAACGTGATTCAGGTTCCATATCTGCCTGAAAATCCATATGACGGTGCGAAAGGCGTGGGGAAGCGCGAGGGGAAGCTGGGGCTAATGTTCGTACAGATTTATTTCTCCGAGAAAATTGTGGTGATGCAAGAGGAGTGCGTCTCACAGGCCTTGGTGAAGTCACTGGTGAATGAATAGGAGAGCGCATTAGGGGGGGCATTGCGGGAGGGCCAACAGGTGCCATTTGGTACACTGGTGGCTCTTGAGGAAGAAATGATGGCTGGTAAGCAGGTGAACCCATATATGGTGAAGCAGCGAGAGGAAGGTGAGCAGTTTGAGGAGGAAGAAACTGATTTTGCTGAAACATAGGAGATGGTGGGAGAAGTGGCTGCTCATACTGCATATCTAACATCATATCTTGGTTGTTCAGTGCAATCGCTGGAGAGTTAGAGGGAAACATTGCTGAAGGGGGTGGAGGGGGTACAGGTTGCACATCAAGTCTCTCTTGCCCAAACATTCTCACCTGGGGCCTGGGGACTTTAAATTGTTCAGATGGAAAGGGCTGGGGCACAGTATATGACAACTGTTCCTGTCCATAAAAAGGATCCAATTCAGCGTGATCAACATACAAAGATGGCTGGTATGGATTGTACGAAACAGATTGGTCTACATACCCCATCATTGGATCAGAATATTGGCCCATAAATTCCCCATAACCTCCATTCATCATGTCATACGGGTCTGACATTGCATAGGTATAACCCATATCTGGATCAAAATAATCCTCATATTCGTCATATTGCTCGTAAGTATTATAAAGACCATTGGCATAATCATAACCATATGGATCTGGCTCCATTGCATAGACCATTCCATTATCACCATAGTAATAATCCATTTCATCTTCATAATAGTCCTCATATTCGTCATCATAATATCCATCAAATTCATTGAAGTAATCGTCATAGTACTCATCTTCATAATAAAAGTTTCCTTCATCGTCATAGTAACCATACTCATCCTCCCACTCCTCGTCATCATAATAATAATCCACATCCTCTCCATAAGGGTCATAGGGGTCGTAAGGGTCATAGGGGTCATAGGCCATAGGGCGTCTGTGTAAGCGTCTAGGTCTCCAACCATCATAGTAATCTTCCTCATCCTCATATTCATCCGCATCATAGTCGTAACTTTGATTGTGATAGTACGATGGCCTCCCCTTATCATCCCTGCGAATAAATGACAGACGCTTTTGACCCCGTTTTACTCCTGTAAGTCTGCCATGCCCTTTTACCGTCAAGAACCTTCCTGTCAGCCAGTTAGTGGCTGCAGCAATCTTTCCCAGAAGTTTGCTTTTGGTCTTAAAGTTTTCTTCTTGCCTCTGCTTTCCAAACAAGCCCTTGAACTTTCCTCCCATTCCCTTGGATTCAGCTGCCATTTTCCCACCTTTCCCAGCTAAACCTGAAAGATTTAGTGTCTTTTTCTCTGTGTCTTTTGCTGCATCTTTTTTACCAAACAAACTAAATCCAGACAAGCCGGGTTTTTTGTCTCCAGATTTACCCCCAAGCCCAGCAAAAAGCTTGCTAGCACCCAGAGTTGGTTTGTTCCCAGCAGCTGGCTTTTTCTTCTTGGAGAGTCGCAGGAATAGACGGGAAGTACTTTTAAGGTTTCTTTTCGGTTTTGCTTTTTCTGGTGGCTTAACAGGCTTTGCCAAGGGAGGCTTTGCCATGGGAGGCTTTGCCATGGTAAAAGGGGATGCTTTTCCTGTGATGCTGGTGAGAGCTTTGGATGCCCCTTTAAGCTGAGTTGTTGATGGACGTGGCTTTGGTGGCGGTAAGGCCTTT